TTACATTTTGTTCTTAATGAACCAAGCAGTAAATATTTTATTGCAGCACTAAGACTAATAGGTTACTAGATAAAGAATTTTTTTTGACAAAAGTAATGTTGTATGATAAGCCCCTCAGTCAGTTTTCATAGGAAGGAAAGGAAGAAATATCTAACTTTGACCAAAAAGTACAGACCAGAAAAGCTGTATTGGGCTGCATATGATTCTAATCAAGCAATAATATCTCCATCGAACTGAAGACCAAATGATTGCCCCCACAGCAAGTTCACCTTTGATAAAGAGTTGAGCATGCTGTCAATGCTCAGTTTCTGTAGCATCTCCAAATACAGCTGAGAAATCAGATGCAGAACCAAAATGCAGACCTGGTGGTATGACAGATGATGGGCCAGCTCCCCTTTCAAGGCTCTTTGTGTTTTACAGTGCTGAAAACACTGGAACTTGTTTTCATTAGTGTACTATCCAGATATGACTCAGAAGACATATGGAGAATGTGTACTACCAAGATTCAATTTTTAAAGTCACATTTCTGTTCAAAACCACAATTAAAAAAAAAAAAAAGAAAAGGAAAAAAAACCCCCAACTAAAACAAAAAAACCCCACAACAAAGATGTGCTAAACTGACAAAAACTGTCACTAATTGCTGCCTAAATCAATAGGTGGTCATCTCTTGCCCTCTAACTTCAGTGGGGATGGGAAAGAGGAAAGGTGCTTGATGTATAACCATGAAAAATGTCCATTTCAGGAAAAGTTTTAGATTAGCAAACCAGAACACTAAATACTATCTAGATTACCAAATAAAAAACTTGGTTTATAGTAGATGAACATGAACCAATTATATTGGTTACTATTCAGAAGAAGGAAAAAAAGAAATAAGATTTCAGTTTGCTATTGAAACTATTACATCACAATATGCCTGCAAAATAAGAAGTGCCAATAAACAACAGAATAGGCACTTGTGAAGTCCACTTTTGAGCTATATGCATGGCATGGCCATTTGCTAGGGAATCTGTAATCCATACTAGAAAGCAACAGTAGATGGCCTACTTTTCACAAAAAGTGAGAGCTAGAGAAAACCACATTGTGCCATAGGGAGGAGAAACACAGGCATAGCCTTCATTATTAATTGGCATACACAGAACGAGCAAGCAGAAACAAGACAAGTAAAAGAAAGAAGGGAATTCTCCCCGGAAACATATGGGAAGCACAAAACAGAAGTAATAAAACATTAAAGAATAGGGATACAAACACCATCATGTCCAGAAAGTGCAGTCATTAGTAATGACTGTAATGAAAGCACTGGAAGGGTGAATGTGAAAGTTAATGGCTTCTTTTACACATGTGAGAGAGTGCACAGAAAAAGAACAGGGTATCTAAATGTATGAAAGAGTCTTCCAAGTATCATTTTCTATATAACTCACCAGGCTTCACTAAAGGGAGAAGTAAAGGAAAGCACAGAAAATTCCACTTTGACACCTGTCTTTCAAAGCTGATTTCATTTTCACAATTTATCTTTGTAGTTACTGCACAGCAGAGAACCCAAAGCCAGCCACTGCCAGCATGTTACTCTGGCCACAGACCTGGTGTTCTACTCACTTTCTTTATGGGTCTACTAAACCACCTCAGTTTTATAATTAGCCACCAAGGATCATTTTCCAGTTGATTTTGCCATGTAAACCCTACAAAGGCTCAAATTACTAAAGAAAACTTAGAGGGCACCCAGCACTGCTGAGGTACCCTCTCTTCAAGAAGCTGAGCACAACCTTTTTCAATATTTTTGACTATCCTTTTCCTATCTGGTTAAGCTCTCAAACCACAAGTTCCCTGATGTTGTCAATTCACATTTACATGATACCTTGGGAAATATTTTAGCAGGTCGCAGAAGTTATTTCCAGTGCTGAAAAAACAGCACCTGTAAACATGCAATTTGAAGAATTATTGCTAAAAAATATTTGGTGAACACATTTTCAAAGTTCATACCCAAACTTTGTTGGACACAAATACTTTGTAATAACATAGTGATGGCTTCAGAGTTATCTAAGTGATAGCAATCACCTATTCAACCACTTGGTGTTGCTTCTAAGATCCAGCAAACTTCTTTAAAAGCTAACAGTGTGATGTAGGAGTAACTTCATGGAATTAAATGACAGCACAAAGAACGGCCTTCCTTACGGGCACAAGGAAGAGAGGAAGGATCACTGCTGTATTCATATATACAGCTTTACTGCAAACATAATTTGACTACCTCTTAAACAGCAGTGAGTAACAAGGGCTGCAAGACACAGAGATGGAGGTGATTAATTCTCTCTTGGCCTGAAAAAATTACTTTTCTTGCCAATATTTTGGCACCTCCTACTGACTAATACAGAAAGGAGTGACATAGGGCCTGAGGATGTAAAACAGATATGGTGAAAATGAAAAGCTCTAGTAGCTAGCCTACAGTTGTCTACCACAGCAATAGAGCAAGTAGATAGAAGAATGGAAAAAGAAGAGATTGATTCCGCTTTGCAGTATGCAGCCAGTTAAATGATGGGGGAAGGTATGAAAGGGGCAAGGTTATAAGCATATAAAATACAAAATATTTTAATAAGATAATAAAAGACTACATGGGAAATGGGGCTTTGTAAGAGAAGTGTAAGTGTCCAAGACAAATCTAAAAAATGAGATTAATAATGGGCAACATTTAAAAGAAAACATGTATGAAATTACTGCAACCAGTGAGTTAGAACCACTGGATAAATCTCCTTTACATATCTTCCAGTAACAGGAGAAATTAATGAATTTTAGAGACAATGGACTTGACAAGTATTTGCTCATACTTTTATTTAAATTGCTGTAAATCACCTTGCATTTCCTTCCAATTTATCAAGTCAATAGAACAAGAAGGAAGAAAGACTGCTGTAATGGGGAACCAGGCCTTTCCAGCTGCATGACAGTGAAAGAGGGCTAAATGTAAGCTGCTGGTGTCCATAGGAGCTTGCTGTGTTGTGCATTGCACAAATAAGTGACTAAACTCATTTACATGTGTTTAGTCTCAACTACACTGCTACCGTTTATAGATTAAACTCTGCTTTCAGGTACAGCAAGGTGTTTCTATAGAACCTTACGAAACATCACCAGAGTTGCTTTGCATTTACAAGAGCAAAAACAGGAGAGAAGGAACAGACAGAATTCTCTGCTAAATTGGTGCAAAGGTACACCTCCCTCAGAGGACACTTTTAAAAGCAACCACAGAACAAAAGCCTCTCTGCTTGCCAGCCAGGCATACATTATAGTAACCACACCCTTGTAGGTAAACATCTACATGGAGCAAATCACTTATTTTGTGAATAGGGTTTACTTTATCATTTTGAAATGCATATTGCTGTTCTTTGACATATTAGTATGCTTAAAGGAATAATTTAAGGAAATAAGCTTATTTGCATATGTTTTCACTTATTTGTCCTCTCCTGTTATTAATCAAATTTGTCTAATATTTTTATCACATCATGTTTTATATAAAAAAGAAATAAATAAAGATCATGATGGCCTTTCAAGCAGTAGTTGCTAGCAATAAAATAAAGTCAAGAAATCACACAGTCTCATGTGTGATGAAAGTAGTTGGAAAGTTGCTCCAGGTGTTCTGGTAACATACAATGTCAATGCCCCACCGTATCACAGATTTTCTATTACTTTGAAAGTCAGTGCTCTGCTGCAGGTTAAAAAGATGAAGCTGCAATATGTGCAATGAATGCTTCTCATTGTTAGTACTGTGTTTTAAAAAGAAATTAGATTGTTCTGTGCGATGTTGCAGGGCATTACATGGAAAGGCTAGTTTTCAGAGGAGGCCCTGCGCTTGGAACACCACTGAGCTCACCATCCTTGGGCAGCCAACTGGACGTGGGGTTCTGTTGGTATCCAAAGATCTGGTGTCACTTGCCCCAAGCCTCCTTTTGCACCTACTGTACCATCCTGTTTCACAATAAATGAAAAACAGCTTTTGTACAACATATGTTCAGTTCCTATAGTAAGCTATTTTTGAAGTTGGAAGGCCTCAGGCATTACTATCCTTTCAAGCCATACACAAACAAAGAGGGTTTACCACAAAAAAGAGCCTCTGCTGATGAGTGTAAGGTTTACTTTTGCTCCCTCACTCAAGATCCTTATTTCATCAAGTTCTATAAAATTCCAATTGATGCATTTTCACCTTATCATTGAATTCTTATTGCTACCTGACCTAAGGTCAACTATACTTTCAAAATAAATAAAGAAAAAGATATAATGCAATCAACTGCTACAATCAACAGAAATAAAATTGCTATTTTATTTCTGTTGTACATTAGAACACAGTGGGTTTTCAGTGTTGGTGCTCTGCTATAAACAGGATAACAGTGCTCTAGAGGGCTCTAAATGTGCATGTGCACAAACCAGAGGTACAGACTTAAAGGTCTAGGCTACACCATCTACATTGCTGGACTAGGAGCCAGCTGAGCACTTCTCTCTCAAAGCACAGGATGCATATCCTAGGAGAGATCTTGTTTCTAGCTGCTAAAAGTTTCCAGTCAGCTTCCTACCCTTTCTCTTGTTTTCCAGCCTGGCTGCAAGAAAATGTGAGTGCAATGGTGTGGAGGGAGCTGCATCTCCTGCTGGCCCACATCTGTTGCCATCAGTTTCGGCCTTACACAGGACGAGGCTATGCCCATTTTCAGCAGGGGAGGTGGCTGCCACTCGCCCCTAAGTGTTTGCTCTTCTTGGAGTCCCAGGACACGTGCAACATCTAGGTGCTAACACATCCAGCTACCTTTGAGGCAGGTATCCCTCAGGAATACACCTGCCTGGCCCTCACACCTGAACAGTTTACTGGAACAAAAATGTTAATGCACACTGTTGGACATAATCCGATACATGATAAAAGAGGCACCAAACCCCAGTCTCCTGCCTCCTTCCCCATAACCTTTAATCAATCTTCTTATCTCCTTTTATGAGGAACTTGTGAGGAAGTCTACATCAAAGGAAAACATACATTTTTATTTTGCTTCAGATGTGTTAACAATATTTATTAAAAACATTTCTGGCCAAAATACCAAAAATCACCTGATGTTTAATTATAAAAATACCACAATTGCATTTGAAACTTTACCGTAACTACAGTCTAAAAGTGAAACTAAAAAAGTGAAAGTTCCTTGTTGTTTTATGATACACAGGCTAAAAGAAATGCAGAAAGTAAACAAAAAAAGCACACGTAAACATATATTTATAAAAATGCTTCTTGAATTTTAAGATATATTTGCACCAGAGGGAAAGGTGGCAATTTATAAGACTTTTGATAGGAAAAAAACAAGTGTGATCATACAAGTTGTTAGACACTGTTTTCCTCGCAGTGACACAGAAAAAAATAGGAACATGTAGGTAGAGACTGCTGCTGAGATTTTCCAAAGCCTAAAAAAAAGTATGCAACTATCTCCTGTACATTCAGAAAATCCTGGTGTTCAGGTTTACTGCTCTTCTCACAGCTGAACTTCCTTCATAATTCCTTTTCTATTTGGTTATGCCTAGTTAACTGACGTTGGCAATTCTCAGCCCAAGCCATGCCAGCTGAACAGCAGATAGCAACAGGAAAACAGTAAGGAAGAAGACAACACAGATTTGATTGACATCAACAGATTTGATGTTTAACCAGGATTCTTTAAACTTTCTTCACATGCTTTTAAACTTCATCTTGAGGTTTATGTTTGTAGTGGAGGTACAGGAAATCAAGTAATTCAACTTGTATTTACCATTTATATAATTACTTTTATTAAATTACCTATATAATTCATGTAAGGGGGAAAAAAACCTCCAGAACATGCAGTTACACTGTTTACAATTACTCTGTCAGGTGATGCAATTACTATAAATAGGCTCAGAGACAACACTAATTAATAAAATTGGAAGGGTAATGTAAGAAAAAATCTGCTAAGGCATATAAGTTGAGATGTAGAAGGGTGATTTTTCTTTTGGGTTTTGGCAAGAATATATTATAAAGAACCCTCACACATAAAAGTCCCCCAAGCTACAGATGTTTGGGAAATAAAGCAAAATAGTAGAGTTGTGGCTTGTTTCTAGATAAATTTTAAACATTAAGAATGAAGAACATCTGTAGAGTGCATGCACACACCTTACTGATTTTAGTGGGGTTTATATATGCAGAGTGAGATGTGGAAGATTGACCTTTAAACCTGGAGCAGAGGTGTCATTTCTCTCTCTGTTTTGAACACAGTAAGAAGTGTTTTATTTGCAATTTTATGTAATCTTATAAACCAAATGTAGTGGATTCTTTTTTCAGTCTGGGATGAAAAAAGGTGTTTCTTCAGTCACTGGAAATGTAGCCTTGCAAAAAAAAAACTGTCAGAAGAAAACTGTGCATATTAACAACTCTCCTGAGAGCAATAATAGACATTCTTTGCATTTATTCAGCAAATTTACATCCAAATCGGGAAGACGTTTGATTTTTCTCAGTTAACACTGAAATATTTGCAAAAATCAATAAGGGATGTTGATCAATGTCTCCTGCAGAAGGAAGAGATAAGAGGTAGTTAGTTTTTTTTTGTACCTCTCTGGGATACTGTAGGCAAAATGACCAAACCGCTTCAGTGAAACATGTGTTGGGGTTTTTTTTTGGTCTTTTTTTTTTTTCCCTTTCCATGACAGAGAAGTTGTACATATCCTTAACAGCAGATCCAGTGAATTCTGTCATTTCCTTACAGCTCCACTGATGACAGGCCCAACTCTGGGCCTTCTGTGTATGTAAGCAACATTCAGTGCTGGAGCAGTACTCAGAAAAGTCTCTTGCTTCTAAATAGCTTTCAGTAAAGGGTTCAAGAACATTTTACACACACAGAATTTACACTCCTGTGGCTTATTATCAGTTTTGATTTTGTAACAGTAATATCCCAAACACCTAGCAACACTGTGGACACTAAGACATCTTTCTGTATTTTCTACAGCCTCCTGATTTCCTTCATTGCCCAAAAGGATAAATACATATTTACTCGGGAAAAAAAAAACAAAAACCAAAACTAGAAAACAACTTCAAAATCCAATGGACAGGAGCAACCTTGTTCTCAGCTGATGCCAAAATGCATTTTATACAAAGGTGTAGAACAGAGCTGAATTAGTTTTCAATTTTCTGGATCAGTGCTACCCCCCACCACTTCGTCGCAGAGGAATGCTTTGCAGACGTGGCACTGTACAAAGCCCCTTGACTCTGCACTAACACTGGTCCCCGGTGCAGCAGACCCATTTTACAGGTAGGCACACACCGGTAGGCACGGCACCTCCTACCGGAGGCTCGGGTAGGGCAAAACAGGAACGACACGCACCCTGCGGCTGATTTAGCACGAGGTGTGATCCCGAGAAGGGATGCGTCCGCTCGGAGAGGCAGCTCCGGCTGCGTGTCCATCCCGGCAGTGCCGGAGCCGGTGACTCGCGTTACGCGGGATCCCTCGGGAGCAAAGCGCCGCGGCGGGGCGGTGCGGAGCAGCCGCGGGCTGCGCCCAGCGCACGGCCCCGGCCCGCCCCGCAGCCCGCTCCAGCCCTCCGGCAGCGGCGCCGCGGGCTCGGGAGCGGCCCCGCGGCCCCGCCCCGGCCCGGCCCGCCCCGTCGGCAGCTCATTGATGAGCCGCGGGCCTTTGAGGAAAGGGCGAGTGCGCCGAAACCGCTGCAAAGCCATGATTTTTCAAGCAGCAGCGCAGCCTGGGAACTTTGCATGTTTCACCATTTTTCACGTCCTGACTCATTTCTGTATCAAAAAATGTGTTCTCTGGAGCTCATCGGACACCCACCGCCCCTCCCGCCGCCGCGGCGGCAGGCAGCATCCACGCCGGGCGGCAGCAAGGGGAACTATAGCAGAAATCCCCTGCGGGCAGGCAACCGCAGTCCAGCCCCGGGCCCCTCCGAGTTCCCTTTCTATTGCCAGCGGGGGTTGTTTGCCCCCGAGGGCTGCAGCCGCTGCAGCCCGCACGCCACGCAGGGAGCGGAGCAGGTGCACCCGCCAAGGCCCACCCTCCCCCCGCCGGCGGGAGGCACCTGCGTGGGCCGGGGGTCGGTCGCGGGGTCTCGCCCGAGAGTTCTCGCCCCACGGCGAGCCTCACCTTCCCCACCCGCCGTGCACGGCAGAGAGGGGCTGCCCCCCGCCCCGACAGCTCTATCAGCGACAGCCGCAGGGCACGGGGGGGCTGCGGACGCGCCGTCGAGGGCCCGCGGCGCGGGAGCGGCGGCGGCGCTGGCGCGGGTGGCTCCCGCCGCTGCCGCGCGGGATGGGCGGGGCGGGAGGGCCCCGCGGGGCGCGCGGCGCCGGTCCGCCCGCCCCGCGCCCCGCCGCAGCGGCACGGGCCCGCCAGGCGCCTGCGCACTGCAGGGGCGCCAGATTTGGCGGGAGGGGGAGTGTCTAAGGGCCCTTTGTTTGATGGCATCTCTGTTTACAGAGTTTACTCTTTAATCTCAACCTGTTTCCTCCTCCTCCTCCCGCGGCTCCTCGGCACTCCCGTGCGCGGCGGCGGAGCGCCCAGGCGCAGCCCGGCAGCAGGGCGCGGCGGCGGGCGCGGGCTCGGTCTCCCCCGTCCTCCTCCCCCAGCGGCCGGTGCGAGGATGTCCCGGAGACCCCGGCACAGGTAACCCGCTGTCTGCGGGCGGGGGCGGCCGGCTGCGCTCCGCGCCTGTCAGACGGGGCGCGGGACGGGAGAGAGGGAAAGCGGCAGCAGGCAACCGGCTCGCCCGGCAGACGGGCGGGCAGTCCCCCGTCCTCCGTGCACCTGGTCTACTCCGCCCCCGGTGCCGAGGCGCTCCCCTCCTCCGGAGGCGCCGGGAGAGCTGCAGCCCGGCGGGACGCGCCGCGGAGCCGCCGGTGCCGGGGCGCTCGGGCCCCGCGCTGCACGCCTGCCGGGGGCCAGTGCTCGCCGCCCGCAGGAGCCAGCGCGGAGCCCGACGGAGCTGCGCGCTCCGCAGCCGCAAGGCGGGATAATGTCTGGCGGGCTCGGCGGCGGCAGGTAGCGCGTCCTTGTCCCATTCATTCATTCATTCCCGGCCGGCTGAGGCGACAGGTGGGCAGCGGGTGCGGGGACTCGGTTCGCTCCCTCGACTTTTTGTTTCCTTTATTCGTGCGGCCCTTTCGCCCTTGGAAGCGCGACTCTGGCCTGAGTGGCTTAGCTTTTTCCAGGTACACACCACTCGGCACACGCCGGAGCGCGGCAGCGCGGGCGGGGGGCTGCGAGTCCGACGGAGCGCTCGGCCGCGGCTGTCACCCGTGGCCGCCCGCCTGCCGCGCACCCGGGCCAAGGCGATCCCTGCCGCGCCGCGCAGGGTCCGGGAGCGGCGGTGTCCCGGGGGCGGTGGTGCCCCGGGGGCGGTGGACTGGACCGGACGGGCCGATAGCGCCGCGTGGCCACGTCCGTGGCCCCGCTGCCGCGCGGGCGCACAGAGCGGAGTTGTTGTCTAATTAGCCAGGGACGGCGGGTCGGACACGTGGAGGCTTTTTTCTCTTTGCAGCCTGGCATCCTCCCCTCCTCCCCTCCCCTTTGGCTGGCCGTGACAGGGGAAAAGGTCGCAGCCCTGCCTGTCGCTTCCCGGGCGCCGGTCCTGTCCAGTGGGACTAGGGGCTTGGTGGGCTCTTTCTAAGGAAGATGGGTTTGCGGTGCGGGAGGAGGCGGCGAGCCGCTGGGCGAGCGCCGGGCTGTACTTTCAGTGTCAGAGCGGGGCTGTCGCTAGAGCTGGCGGTGAATCACCCGGCCCGTTTCTCCCGAAAGAGAGGGACAGCTACCGCTGTCTCGTGGGCGCCTCCCGCAGGGACACGTCCGCCGCTCGGGGCTGGGAGGCCGGGGCGGCACGGTGCGTTGTCCTCCTGACCCGGCGGGCGCGGCGCCGGCGGGCGCGGGCTCTGCCCCGCGGGGCTGCTGCCCGAATTCCTTCAATCACGGTAACAGCAGCGAGTCATTTCCTCTACACCTCCTTTTTTTTTTTTTTTTTTTTTTTTTTTTTTTTTTTAACCTCTCCCTTTTCTTTTTGCTTTTTTCCCCGTGCATCGTTGCACAAGCCGGTTGCCTCGGCGAACAGCGCGGCTCTGATGGGCGGCCGGGGGTCTCCCGCTGTCCCGGCCGGGCGGAGCGCCGTGCCGTGCTGAGCCGCTTGGGGGGAGGCTTCAGGGCTGCAGCCGAAGGTGCAAAATAAAGTTTTAGAGCACCACTGCGGGCCAGGTTGACTGAAAAAACTGCCGAGCGTCCCGTAATCCCCGGACACTTTTCTCCTGCTGGAGAGCGCAGGTAGTACAGTGGAGTTTGCTCAGTTCTGCGGTGCCAGCGAGGCCCCAGTCATTTAAATAACCCTGTTACAGAACTGGCCCCACACTGAAGTCCTTAAACGTGTTGGCCGCTGATGCTGTGCTGCTGCAGAGCGGAGTTTCCCTGCAGCGCCCGGCCCGCGCCGCCGCGCAGGAAGCGCCGCGGATGGATGCGTACCTGCTGGTTGCCTTCTACGGAAAACTCATTTTCAAACTGATACTTGGAAACTGTGCCACAAAAACTTCCTTTGGCATATGGGCAGCGGCGCAGCTGTCTGTGTGTGTCACTGAGAAAAGTGAATCTGCTTTGAGCGGCGGCTGGGGACCGGAGCCGCGCTGGTGGCAGCTGGAGCGTGGGAGCTTTTGCTCAAGCACGGGAGGCTCCAGCTGCCATCGAGGGGTGCGTGCGGAGTGGGAGCTTCCATCGGGGCTTACTCCCAAAGGTTACGGGGTCTGGGGAATAGGGAGTGAATCGTGGGGCTGCAGGACTGCGGCGCGATGGGTGTGAGTTGAGGGTGGCAGCGATGGGCTGGGTGGGTGAGTCAGGGGCACCTGGCAGAGGCTGCAGGATGACCACACACATCACAGCAGGCTGTGGAAAACTTTTTATATGTAGCATGTAAGCATGTTCTTTCATTACACAGGCCAGAAAACAGTGTGGAAGATGTAGGGTGTGATTAGCCCAGTACTTTAAAGAATGTATGTTCAGTAGCTTGCCTTTTGGAGGTGTTCACATCTTGACAGTCATGGTGCTTCACTGCAATTTAATTGAAAGTCATCTCCTGAAAACAGGTTAACAGCATAAACAGTGCCTGTTAATTTTATTACAAAATAACTTTATTTTAATGTCTTAGTCATACTTTTAACATACCATACCATACCATCAGATATATCACAGTTTTTAATCTTAATGACACTGACTCCTTTCTAACACTCATGGCTAGCATCTCTTAGCTGAAGTATCAGAACTGCTGCTCATACCTTAAAAGTTAGAAGTAAAATACTGTCCACCAGAAAGGTACGTCTTGTTGCAAAACACTCTCTTTTAGATTTAGTTAGCTAGGTAGAGCAAGTGCTGTTTGTGAAGAGTCATGGAGTCCTTTTTACCCATAGATAGCCTCTGGGGAAATCCCTTAGTCATGAATTAGGTGAGCAAAGTATTTCAAAAACAGTATGAGGGATTTAGAAATACAGTAGAGGTAATAAAGTTATAGAAATGGAGAATATAGAAGGGTTCAGTCATTCATTTGTTGGTTGCAGGATATTAAACTTGTCCTCAGTCCTTATCTGTCCAAACCCATAAATGGAGGACATATTTTATATTAGAGCTTATTGCATGTTAATGCTGCCACTTACTGTCTTTGCTTATTGTAAAAGCTTGTGCCTTCTCATATAGGGCCCATAAACATTTTCTCAGGCAAGGTTATTGTTTAGCTTTTTGTTTTGCTACACGGTCAGTTTTATTTTGGAGCAGTAGAACAATCTGCTGTATTAAAGAACACAAAAGCACTAGAGTTTTTCAGAATGTATGGCACGAGTTAAAGATCTTAAACATGTACTCATGTACTGGACACAGCCTCTAGTTGTCTTTATTGTCCCAAACATTGTATTTTAATTTGAAACCTTCATTGGTTGAAAGTTTGCCAAATGTGTAATTCACCACTGATCTAACATTAGGAGCAGGTCTAAACATGCACAGTAATACGAAGGTTGCCAGCCCTTTGCCGGTATCTGTGGATACCAAAAACAGCAGAACCAGTTCAGAATACTAGAACAACAGAATGCAGAACAAAATCTTGTTGTGCAAGTTTTAAAACTTTTATCTGTGTAACCTTTGTAAGGATTGTAGCAGGGGGGTTTTTGTGTTTTGTAATTAAGTAGTTCAAGTCCTCATGCTCCACTCTGTCTTGCTGTGTTTCCTTTTGCAGTATATATAGTAGTGATGATGATGAAGAAGATGTTGAGGTGTATGATCACGACTATGATGGTCTGCTTCCTAAGACTGGAAAACGTCACTTAGGAAAAACCAGGTGGACTCGCGAAGAGGTAAATACAAGTTCATTCCTCTCCTGCATGTATAAAGATAAGAGAGAGCATGGATCACATTCTTCTCCAAGTTGCTTCATGTTCTTCACCATATTGCTAATCTGCAAACTTCAGTGACAGTACCATATCTGAAGACAACTTTTTTGACCCACTAGCTACGTTCAGTGTTTTATTTAACTTTGAGCATAGTTCTTAACTTTTAAATAAAATATATAAACACGACCTTTTAATTTCCCCCATGCTCTGTGTTAAAGTATGTGATGTGTGAAGCTGTGTAATCCCTGTTGGAGAAGCAGATTCCAAATCACCTGTAGCAGTGCTTTGTTGTTGCTACTTGCCTCTTTCTGTTTGGAAACTGTTGCTATGCGAGAGCTGATGTGTGTTCAGTGTCCCACAGCAGCAAACCACTGTGGCAAAAACTGCTGCAGTCCTTCTGTACCACTGGAATTTTGCACTTTAGTTGAACTGTTATGATTCCAAGTGGAAGCAAAGAAAAAGCTGGAGGAGAGAAATCCAGCAGTACCAAAACTGAGAATTCAAGATGTATTTTGCTTTTCAAGGTCAGAATGTGCTTTAGTTGTGATACCCTTGTGCTCACTTTCTGGGAAAATTGTGGTATCAAACTCCTTTGCCAGGTGGCTCTCCTTTAGCCTTTTAACTGGTTTGAGTTTGTTGTGGAATACATTAGTACAGTTCTTGAGTTATGTTTTGGCTTTCTCTTCTCTAACAATGTGTATTGTTGTAAAAACAGTGGCAGGTCACCCCTTGCAAGCTTTTTATTTATTTATTTTAAATCACAGCCTGACCTTACAGAGGTGGACGTGGTTGTGATGTGGCCAGGGAAGAAAGGATGGCCATGAAGTCCAATGGCCATTGTCCTGTTGCATGAAGTGGGAGCATACTGG